TCAAACTCGATCGAATTCTTAAAGAAACAGTCGCAGAAGCAGTAAGATCAAGATAAAGACTCAACCTGCGGAGAGGATGGTGGCAGAACTGCCAGAGACCGAGTGCGGCAAACCGACAAGCAACGCGTGCGACGAGGGCAAAAGGCCCCGGCGAATCCCCTCCTACTCCGTCTTCGTTGGAGATCCAAACCCTCCGCCCTTCCACCCCGCCTCCACGATTAATTCTCCCTTCTCTTCCTCTGCCGATCTCCGAAACCCTAAATCATGGCGGCAAGCCAGCAATCGAGATATAACGGTCGGCCCATAATAGTTTGGGCCATAAATTTGGGCCTCCATTATGAAGAAGTAGTACTATTTCTGTGCTAAAAATCTTGGCACAATACACCACTAGATGGCATGATTAGGAACCTTCTTATAAGATTTGGATTGAGTTGCATCATATCATAATGTTGTCACAGATAATAATAATAATTTTACATCCATCATATCAATATAGAGAATATTTTTCATTTTGAAACAAATTTTTACCATAGTGGAATGGTAAATTTTTGTTTTTGTTTTTGTTTTTGTTTGTTTGTTTTTTTTGTTGTTGTTGAGGGTTGATTTGCTTTCCCACATCAATTATTATCATGAATCTCTTCAGCATCTGTTGCTGTTCATTAATTACAATCTTTCCTCTCAATCTTTGCACTGTCTTTCATCTACTGTTAAATAGAGTGGACTCTACCTGTGGATTCTTCTTCCCTGCTGAGTCTTAGTGGCAGGCACATATCTGCTATGGTACATTTGCATGCTTTTTCAGACTCTGTGTGATTTATATGCCTCTCCTGGCAGTATCCATCTGCAATTTACTTGTGTAATCTCCATCTTCTCACTCTCTCTCTCTCCACAAGTCAATTGTTCTCTCTTTTATCTACTGTTAAGTACAGTGGAATACCTGTGGATTGCTTCTTGCTCTTCACTCGTAGTGGCAGGCACATAGCCTGCTATGTTGCAGCTGTATCCTGCTGGATTTTGGCCCGGCAGTCCATTCACTGATCTAAATTTGAACCAAATCTAAATGGTCAGCCTTTGTCCAACATCCCATGATCATAGAGATTGACCGAATCGAGATTAAGATGTTAAAAAGTATGGAAGAAAACTGGGCATTTTATCTTAAACAAAACCTTTCATTACTTAGATGATATTTTCTAATTGATTTTTATGTAAGGACATTCTTTCTTTTTCATCAATTCGATAAAAATATCCTTTTTATTCTTTATGAGTAATCTCTTACTACTATCATCATCGATCGTCGTTACCTCCATTGTCTCTCTCTCCTCTGTCGCCCATCACCTCCTCTCTCTCTCCTATCTTTCTCTTCCTCTCATTTTTTTCTCATCCTCCCCCATCGCTTGCAGGCGGCAACCTTCTCCCCCTCCTCTATCGCCTATACAGCATAAATAAAACGGAAGTGGAAGACTCTTATACGTAATGATAAAGGCAGACGTCGAAGACAAATGATATTGCACAAAAACAACATAGAAGGACGAGCAACAGAGAGTGAGAATCATGACGATAAAAGAGAAGGGGGAAGAGAGGAGATGGGGAGATGACAGGTAACGACAACGAAAGCTATTAGTAGAGAGAAGATGAATATTTTCATCAAATTAACGAAAAAGAAGTGTCCTAAGATAAAAAAATAATTATAAGACATGATTTAATAAAAGTCTAATATTGAGATTTTTTTAGGAAAAATACTGAAAAAAAATCTTTTTCTTTCGGGGAAAAGCTTCGAAGATGATTAGTTTTGGCATTGGTTTAAGCTGACATTCCGTTCCGTTCTTAGTGCACTCCAACCGAGAAGAAAGAAGGGAAAGAGTTTGTCTGCAAGTTCCTACAAGCCTCTTCTTCGAAAGATTAAACGAATGAGCAGCTCCTACAAGACTACAAAACCACAGGATAGTTAGGGGTGGCTTAGGTTACAGGAGATGGCATGAGCCTAGAGAGTCATGTCCATATATTATATCCTTGTTCTATGTAGGAACGAACATGGGGTCATATGTTGTCCAAGATTGCTCTCACAAATGGTGGCCAAACATATCATCGACGAGAGTGATGATGAAGACAAGCATGTCAAGTCACCCAACTGGAGTCCCATCTCCTTCTGCCTCTTCTTCCGACCACATTTGAGTCATGGTTGAACAGTGGAGAGGAGAAGACAAATGACCAGATTTGAACAGAAATCACAGCAGTAGCAAACATATGTGTAGTTTAAGACAGAAGGCAGACATTGAAGAAGAAGAAGAAGAAGAAGACTGATTGAGCCTTTCACGCCAATATCGCACACTGCACACGCAAAAACTTCAGAATGAGAAAGCGTTCACCGGCTTCTCTCTATCCTCATCGCCATCTGCATCTGCATCTGCATCTGCCATGCCTTGAAGCCTTCCACCAGCTGCCTCCTCCTTTTCCACTGCAAGTCTTTCCATCTTCTCCCTACCAGTTCGACAGGTGCTCCAAATCTTCTGCAGAAGAAAGCACCTCCTTTTGCTTCTCCATCCTGAAAGAAAGAAAGACACAGACTGAACTCTACTTGAATGTACTTATTACTCCTCTCTCTCTCTCTCTCTCATTTACCATCACCACATCACCCAACTCTCTAAAATGACATTCATGTCACGAGGGAATGGCAGGGAATGCCGGAGATGAAAAGGGCAGAGAGGGAATGCAGGAGGAAATTAGAGCAACGTACTCCCCCCGTGTTCTACGTATCCCTTGCACGCCACTGTTGGAAGTTTCGGCCACCAAACCCCACTCCAACTCTTCGCCTTTGACCATTACAAACTGCGAGGAAACTACACCCGCTATGACAGGAGAGGAGCGAATGGTTGTCAACCCCACACCACTTGATGGAAACATTCAAATCCAATCGTTTCACCTGATTCTGTGTTCATATATTGTTGTTTGTGTGCGTGTGTGTGAATTGGAAAGCGAGTTGGGCTGCAGTAGCAGCAGTCTGCTGGCTTTCCCAGCTACAGAAACCAACAAGAAGAGGACTCTACATGACCAGTGTGATCATATTTGGCTATATAAACAGCTATGTTAAGGTCAAGAAACGAATCAGATCGACTCTAATCATCCTCCACATAAAATAATATCATAGGATTGACTCCATGTGGTAACAGTCATGCACTTCAATATTTGTTGAACGTATCATGATAAGAATATTATTAGATGTCATATCAATCATGTAGGGTTTGGATTGATTGGTCCATCCATGCAGAGTTATCATGATAGTGATTAGAAAAGTGAAGCCAGGAGCATCATGTCCAACTAAATTTACAGGAACAGAAGTACAGCAAGCAAAATAAAAAGAAACAGAGAGAGAGAGAGAGAGAACCCACACAAGGACAAGTGCAGGCAAGCCAAGAAATCTCTGAAGCAGAAAAGACGAGATGACCACAGTGTTTCTAGTTCTTCTTTAAACATATATCCATATCATCTCAAAATATAATAGAATCATATTATGAAACAAATGTATTTTTAGTTGTGAAAAGAAGAATCCATCATTGGTTGCACTTTCACTTTGCATCTTCTTTTAGCACCTCATGAATGACCTCCTCTCTTTCTTTTGCTAAATCACTTTCCTATGCACCCTCCTAGTTTTTAGTATACTGTTCAAAAATAGGGAATGGAATAGAGAGGTAAATTGCTGATCAAAACAAAAGCACCTCTTCTTCCCAGGGGAAGGCTGTGGCATGAAAGTAATGATTTGCTTTAACCTTCTTGTTCTGCAGTCCACCTCCAACCTCTCAAACTCCCTGACAGAGAAAAAGAAGATACTCGGCTTCAGGCAATGGTTGAGCCGAACAGTATCATATTACTTATTTACAATAATTGATTCTTAGCATGATTACAGACGAGTCAGCTCGATTTAGTCCTGGACTATGTGCACAAGAGTCTTAATATGATCGAAAAGGTAGCTCGGGATGACTTGTATACTCAATTAGATTCCTTCGACGTTCAAGTTAGAATTAAGATAAAAAGTAAAATTATAAATGAATAATAACTAGTAACAATAAATTAGACCGAGCAATCACATGACGAGTTACGATTAAGGGGTAAAATTCTCCGCTCCGAAAACTTATGAACTAATAAATGAGACAAGATACATCCACTCCTCGGATGATGATTGGCATGGTGAAAGAAATGGAGGGAGTCAATGGGTTCATGGCTTAGAGAATTTATTTTGCTGGTGTTGATGTGAACTTTACTTGGTCCCAAATTCCCTTGTGCTAAAGATGATGTGTTGGAAGGGTTCCCAGAATAATCTCGATTGCAGCAAAGCAACTTGTAGCATTCTGGTTTGTGGTAGCAGCATTTGTAAGCTAAGCCTAGCTGCCAATGAATTGTGTGTCTCATGCACCACCACTAGAAATGACATGTGAAGGCTTGGACAGGTTGCTTTCTCAGTCTAAAACATTTGTGTGGCAACAAATCCTACTGGTGAGAGCCACAGTGCCACACTTTTCCTTTGGAAGATGCCACTTGAACCCTTCAAAATTAGTGTTTCTTAAGCTATTTTGCATGGATCCAATTGTGAGGTGTAGTTAAACTTAGAAAAAGTAGTGAGTAATACCCATGATTTAGTCTCACATCAGAAATGAAAGAAGACTTAGTTGACAATGATGAAGAAGACTAATCAAATTTAATGGATTGGTTATTCTATCAGATTGACAAGTGAGATCCTGAAACGTCATCTTTATTTTGGTGTCCACCACTTTTCTTCCATACACTTGGCAAGGGTGGAACATTGCCTGATGAAGCATCAGGGATCATGTTCTTCCTAAAAGCACTAATCCATAACAAGGATGGATTGCTTGTGTTCAACATTACTCCCTCAAATAAATGAAGTTGATCAGCTACACAGATAACCAAGTGTTTTGGATATCTAGGCTTCACAAGCATTGGTTTGCATGGGTATTTGTCTCTTTCAATTTTTCTTCCCTGTCTTGAGATTTGAAATGCAATTCATAAGATAACCACATATCTTTTATCCAATCATACACATTGATATGGAATACTCATTTTCATCGGTACATCATATGTAAGAAGGTGACCAACTTAGAGATCTATGTTGATCATCTCCTCAGTCAACTTTTACTGCACAGCAGATCTCATTGTTGTTACCCTTGAGGAAGGTCTTGCACAGCTTCTCCCAGAACTGGTTATCTGGTTCAGCCTCCTCCAAGCTCGCCTTCACATCATCGGCAAAGCATCCCTAGCAAATGAAGAAAAGACCACATGGATTCACTCGGATCATGCAAAAGAAACTTTAATTTGCCTGGTTGGAAGAATCAAACTGCAGTTTGAAGCTCACATTGATACAGTCACTGCTAACAAGACGATCCATGAGGTTGTAGAGTATGTCCTTGCCGTACTCGGGATGTCCTTGAATGCCTAGGATGTGATCTCCGACGCAGAACATCTCCACGCCGGTCTTCTCCGAGAAGCCGATCACTTCAGCTCCCACCGGAACTTGCCACACCTGTTGAGATTCAATGAAGATGAGGACGATGGAACTCTACAAATGTAGTACTGCACTTCTGCGCCAACACTGCTCTACCTCGTCTTGGTGGCATTCGATGATCAAAGCGGAGGGTGGGGTCTCTCCCAGTCGATCGAAGAGCTTAGGGCGAGGCATGTCATCGTCCACCATGATCACCTTCCTGATCCCGACATCCCAACCTCCACCAGCCTTGGCAACCCGACCGCCCAACGCGCGGCATATAACCTGCAAAAGCACAGCAATGTTCGGCATCAACACCATGCATGAAACAGTGCAAAGAAAGAAGACCAGCAAGCTTCGATGGCTGTCTACTTGGTGGCCAAAGCAAATCCCTAGAACTTTCTTGTGCATGGCATGCAACGTTTGGAGAAGAAAGCACAGCCTCAGGATCCACAGGTCATTGCCATAGGCATCATAAGGGCTGCCGCTGACGACGAAGCCATCATACTTGTCGAGGTCTTCCATGTCGGGAAACTCTCCCTCCACCACCCTAAACAAGTCCCAGCTCTCACCTTCCTCCCCGAAGGCTTGTACAAACACGTTGAAGTAGCCATTATACATCTTCGTGACGTAGTCCGAGTCCTTGGCCGCTAAAAGGAGAGCATACCTCTTCTCCTGCTCTATCTTCATGGATGCAAAAGAGGAGGAGGTTAATGTTGAAGGAAGGCATCGAGATCTTCTTATAGAGGTGAGGCCAGAAAAGGTGAGAGCAAATAGGTTATCCTTACGCTACAGTTTGTGAGATTACTGATACAAATGTGGGAAGGCAAGTAGGCAAACTTAGGAAGAAAGTTGATGCCATTGTTAGGCTATCAGATTCCTGTTTGCAAACTTGTACATGAACTAAATGATTCCATTACAGTCAAATTTACTTGGTCATCTTCTTCAATTGAGAGAGTTGTTCATCGCAAGTATCACTCATCTGAACAATCTTATTAGGAAGCAACTCAAGATTCTTTTCTTGCTTTTGCTTAGACTAATTGTTGTGGGGCTCTAATTAGGCATTTAGTATATATATTCTACTTTGGCTTCTGCTTAATGTAGGAAAAGGCTATACATATGACTATACAACTTATTCCTTTTGCAACTCGAATCATAAGTGTTAGGTTGGTAAGTATTTTTGGAGTTATAATAGAATTCACAATACTTAAAGTATAGAAAACAAAGTTCTTGTGAATTAGGATATAATTGTATATACATCAAGGTTTTGATAAGAGAACAAATACTTTGAATGTTGGCAATATTTTCTCTAATAAATCTAGAGTGGTTGAGGAAATTATTTTTAGGATTTATGCGAGAAAATATATAATGGATTCGGGACTTAATTTTGGATTAACTCAAGAGAGAATAAGTTTGATTTTTTTTTTATAAATATAGATATTAAGTGTCAACCATATAAATCTTATATCCATCTTTCTAGTTTAGATGTTATTATTGATCATTGGATTTTTCCGTCTCTCAAACACAAGGGAAGAACAGAGCTTCCGCAAGCCATTGGAAGTTCAGTATAGCTCATGCAAAAGACACCAAACATGTGGCCATTAGAGGGATTCAATTCAATGCGTTAGTACTTTGTGGCAAGTTGGAATCCATGACATTCAGTGCCATTAAACCTTGATTCCTTCGTGCCGTCCTTGTCGATCAACTTGATCCCAAACAATGGAAGTTCGAAGACATCTTGAAGGACTGTTCATCATGCAATCTGGAGTTTGGGGAGGGTGAAGGTTGCTCCAAAAGTGCAAAAAGGCCAATTCAATCACATCCTCGTTAGCCTCTGGAATCTTACAACCTACCAGTGGCCATCTACTTGGAAACGACCGAGTCTGTTCACTGAATCTGGCCAGGTTTTCGGGTTATGAATCCACAACTTTGAATGTGCTTCTGGTGCTGGAAGTTTCACTCCAGACTTTGTTGCAAGAAGTATATTGTTCGGTGGGAATCTATGACAAAGTGTGCTAAGTAGCACCTATTCCAAGTTAATGGTTTTGGTGGCATGTTGTTCATGTTGATGGCAACATGCATGGCAAACTTCGAGACTAAGTGGTGCTGTACAAGCTGAGGTTCTAAAAGAAGATTCTTGTTGTGCTGTGCACCTCTTGTCTCCTTGCAGTAGTCATTATGAATTGTGTCCTCTGAAATTTATATGAAGGTGAGGGGGGTATGTCCTTTCTTCATGGTGCACTTGGCATTCCAAAAGAGTTTGCATCTTATTTGAGATCTGCTTGGGATCACTTAGATGAAGAGGAGCCAATTAGGTCCAATGTATATTTAGTGAGAAACTATTTTGTGCAATTGATTTCATAAAGTTTTCGAACATTATCTATGCATGAGGGTTGCTCGAAACATTAAGCATTGTAATTAAGTTAGAATAAGAGTGGCGTATGCTGAACTGTTCCCTATCAGCTTTTATGTGGATGCTTAAGGTTAGGAGATTTACTTTTGGATCCCAAGGATGATAATGGACAAGGCTGCAACATCCATCAATAGAATATTTTAGCTGTTCTTAAGGGAAAGACACAAGCAGTAAGATTTCTCGTTGACATCATTTGTAAGAAGACCGACTTCTCCTTGGCTTTCTGCAGCAGGTGATGGTTAAGTGAAGGAAAGTCAAAGATGGTTTAGTGCGAGTGATGGGAATTAGCTTTCATTTGTATAAGATTGGGATATGTAACTCTGTGGGTATATGTTCAGAGTAGAAACCGCTGTTGGGAAAAATTATTATAGTGAAATAATTTTTTATTTTATATATTAAAATAATTTTTTTTTATCAAAATACTAATTTTTTTTTATCAAAAGTAAATATTAACCAGAGTAGTATAAATAGTCGAATTAATCATAAAGTGAGACACCGAATTTTTACGTGAAAAATCCAATACGAGAAAAATCATGGATCATAGTCCACTTCAAAATTTCACTATAATAAATAATAATAATAGATTTATAATAAGTTTTCTCAAAAATAACTAGAAGATCACAAAAACATTAAGAACATAGATCTTGGTTCAACAATAATATATCATCATCACATTTCATGAAAGAAAATTTTTGTCTCATTAAGTGAGTATGGCAAAAAAGTATCTCAAAGAGGATAAACTATAGATCGATACCATGAAGATTGTAGAGCTTATTATAAGGATTCTTTACATAAAATTTGAGCCAAAATCGATAATGCTTAATTGCTTCTCATATTCCATTTTTGTTCTATGCTGCCATTATTTCCATTGTTCGCACACCTCTCACTCACTGCATACATGTCTCCACTTCTCTTTTTTTTTTTTAATAAATTAGATTTGGGTTGAATGCCTAAATCAACCAATCCAAGCTCACTTGTGGGCTGGACCCAATAATTCTTCCCCTCCAGCTCATATGGTGGATTGTACTAAGCTCGCTTTTTGCTTACATGCTTCAAGCTTTTGCTTAGGCAAAGCCTTTGTCAACATGTTTGATCTATTCTCATTGGTATGTATATTTTTCAAGTATAATTCTTTCATCTCAACCACATCACGAATCCAGTAATATCTTACATCAATATGCTTGAATCTAGATTGGTATGTTGAATTTTTGGAGAGGTAAATATCACTCTAACTGTCATAGTAAATAGTATATCCTTCCTATTTCAAACCCAATTTCTATAGAAATTTTTTCACCCATAAAACTTTTTTTGTAGACTTTAATAATTACTAGGTATTTTGCTTTTATGGTTAATAGAACAACATAATTTTGTAACTTAGACTGCTAAGAGATTGTTCCCCTTGCAAACGTCATTAAGAACCCCGAAGTGGATTTTCTAGAATCAGTATCACCTGCTATGTTTACATTTTCTATCCCTCTAGTACAGGTTCACCATTTCCAAAACATAAACATAACCTGAAGTACCTTTTAGATATCTTAATATTCATTTCACTACTGCTCAATGTTCCTTACGAGGATTAGAGAGAAATTGGCTGATAACTTTAACTGCATAAGCTATATCTAGCCTAGTATAAACCATAGTATACATCAAACTGCCTACCGCAAATGAGTAAGACACTTTGGACATTTTTTCTTTTTCTTTCTCACATGTAAGATATTATTTTGAACTAAGCCTGAAATGACTTACAAGTAGAGAACAAACTGCTTTAGCTTTACTTATATTGAATATTTCAAGAACCTTTTCAATATAGATGCCATGAGATAGCCAAATCTTTTCATTCTTCCTATCATGAAGAATCTTCATATTAAGTATTTGTTTTATCGATCTTAAGTTTTTCAAAGCAAAAGACTTAGCTCTCTTTTAAGCTTCTTAATTTTACCAACATCATGGCCAATAATCAGTATATCATCAATATATAGCAGAAGAATAATAAAATTATCATCTAAAAATTTTCTTATAAACACACAATGATCAGATGTGATTCTATTATACCCTTGGTTCATCATAAAGAAATCAAACTTGTATACTACTGTTTGGGTGTTTGTGTAAGTCCATATAAGCTTTTCTTAAGCTTGTACACTAGATTTTCTTTTCTCTTGACTTTGAAATATTTTGGTTGCTCTATGTAAATTTTTTCTTCTAAGTCACCGTAAAGAAATATAGTTTTCATATCAAGTTGCTCAAATTCAAAATTCAAGTGAGCAACTAAACCAAGAACAACTTGGATAGAGGACATTTTCACTATAGGAGAAAATATTTCTTCAAAGTCAATACCTTTTTTTTTATTGAATCTTTTTACAACTAGTCGTGTCTTGTATCTTTATTGTGAGCTATTATTTTCAGTCTTCAATTTGTAAACTCATTTATTTTTTAGAGTTTTCTTCCTTTTAGGCAACTTTACTAAGTCACGGTTCTGGTTCTTAAGCAAGAATCTTATCTCTTCTTGCATAATCTTAACACACTCATTCTTATGCTCATGTAGAATAGCTTCTTGGTAAGTTTCTAGCTCTCCCCCGTTAGTATGCATAACATACTCATGTAGAGAATATCTTGTAGATAGTTATTGCTCTCTTGTAGATTTCTTAATGGAATCTCAACTGGTGGTAGTGTAGCTTACTCAAATTATTCAGTTGGTTCAACATCATTAAATGTAGGAGCATCATCACTAACATTCTCACTATAAACTTCTTATTCATCTCCTCCATGATTATTATGAACTATAGATGGAGGGATTGGATCCAAACTCCAAGGAATATAAACAGAGGTTTTTGGCTTCTCAACACTATCACCATTATCAAACAATTGGTTTTCAAGAAATATAACATCTTTGCTTCTAATAATCTTCTTGTTCATTGGATTTCATAATCTATACTCAAACTCTTCATTATCATACTCTAAGAAAATACATGCTTTTGTCTTGTTATCAAGCTTGGATCTCTTATCTTTAGGAATATAAATAAATGTTTTGCACTCAAAGACTCCCAAGTGATCATAAGATATATATTTTCCTTTCTATACACTCTCTAGAACATCACCTTTCAGATATACTAATGAAGAAAGATTTATCATGTCAACTATATTTCTCATAGCTTCTCCCCAAAATGACTTAGGTAACTTGACATGAGAAAACATATACCTAATCATTTTTTCAATGGTTCTGTTTATTCTTTCTGCCACACCATTTTATTAAGGAGTTTTAGGAACTGTTTTCTTAAGCCTAATACT